GCGCCGCAACGTGCGATCAACGAAAGCAATAGCACCGAGTAACATGTAGATATGCAATCAAATCAAATATTTCAGTACCTAAAGGCGAGACAGCGGCATATATGGGCTCACTCTCAAGCACACATAGGCAATGGGTATCCCATCCCCCACCTGAGCTATGGCCATCACGCATATGATACGAATATATCGCAGATACACATGGAATCTTAGTGTGAATGAGCTAGATATGAGCAGCAGCACTGATGGCAAGGTCAGCACAAAGCTCATGTTATACAAAAAAGTTCGATTTCAAATTTAGTTGATTATTAAAATTGGCGAAATTCAGTCGCAAATTAGTAGGTTATCATGATTTTCTAAAAAAAAAACACACAAATCTTTCGCTTTTTGGTTGAATTTTTTTTTCTTTTGATTAAACTATCAATTGAAACAAATACCAAACAAAAAATAGTTGACCAAAATCGAGTATTCAAGACAAAAACAAAGACAAAAATTACAATCTAAACATAAAAGTGAGAAAATTTCAAAGAATTCCAGTTTGAAGATTTCATAAGTTTTCTTTTACGATTGGTGAAAAGTGTATTTTGTTTGACAAGTTCGAAAGGTTTGCATCATTTGTATTTTCTAATAGATTTAACGAATCCTAAATCGATTCGACAAATTGTGTATCAAAATTAAGAAGAGAAAAAAAAGATTTTAAAATCAAAATCTGGTTCACATTGGGAAATTCATTGCCGGTGATAGTTAGCGGAAGAAGAAAGAGAGTGTGATTCGTTGTATATAATCCAAGAAAGGAATTACTTGTTTGTAATGATTAGTGACTCAATTGAAACTATTGAATGGAATTGTCATGGTGACGCGGCGTTTAAATACACACAATATGATTTATTTTGTAAATAGAACAAAGGTGAACGAATCAACGGCGATCGATGGATATCATGACGTGGTGTCGTGTCAGTTGTAATTGTGTCATCTGCTTCATTTACTTGAATTTTTCTGGTTTTCAGATCGGTCAACAAGTTCACCAGATCCTATGTCCAATAATTTCCGCAAAAATCCAGTTACATCGTTCAAACTGGTTCAATGGAATTTCTTCGGACGCTGTATTTAGCAGAGATTTTCAATCGTTTTTTTTTTGTTCAATCCAGTTGCACTAATTCAGATCAATTACGAAATTTGCGCGTCTGCGTTTTGATAGTGATGATGATGATTATTTATGGTTTGGCCGAATTTTGTATGCAAATGTCATATACCAACAAGGTGTCGTGCGCATATAATCATGTATTTCTTTTCCAATCGAGCTGATGTTCATTCGAGTCCAAAAGCCAGAGCCAAACACAAAAACCAAAATCTCAGAGCCATAATAAGTGAATTTGTGTGTATGGTGCACAAAAATTTGTCGGTTAGTTGTTCATGTTATTGTTTTGTGGTATTCAGTACTTTGCATTAGATAATAGAAATCTTGTAGGCAAAACGAGAAATATGTAGCGTATTTCGCAAGTAATTCCCATAATGTTTTTTCTTCGGTTTTTCCTTCTTTCTTGTCTGCTTGCATTTTCAACCATTTTTACAGCTCACATGTGAAATGTGAAAAGTTTATTAGCAGCTGGACCTCCGTGTATGTGTGTGTGTGTGTGTGGGTACGCACCAGTATATAGTGGCGATAATAATATTTTGTTAATACTCATTAGCCTTACAAATATTACTATTATTCTGGGTGTATTTGTGTACAAAACAACACCATGCGCACGGCGTCCAAGTGTTGATGAATGCATGTACGATGTCGAAAAACCTTGAATATTTTAAGATTTATTCATAGCCATTATTTCGTTACACTTTTTACTTGATTGTATGTCCGTGTTTCTCGCATCATTATTTAAATAGTAACGTATTCGTTTTCGGTTTTTCCACACACATAAAAACACAACACTGTGTTCACTATCAAAAATAAGAGCCGTGCCGAAAACGGAGCGTACGTATGTGCCGCCAAATGAATCCTCCCCATATAGCATCCAACCAACCAGCACACACACACACACACTCATGAATCACATGCATTCGTGATAGTGCTTTCGAATGTGTCACACTTCCAAACGCGTGCACGGGCACTTGTATTGCGTTCGAGCCCGCTGAACCATTTATCGGATCTTTGTTTAGCATAATGTGCTAATTTGTTGTGCAATGCATCAATCATTTAATCCTTCAATCGGGTTAGAAATGGTTTATTTTTTCTGTTTTCTTTTCCCTTCTTTCTACTCCGGTCGCCGCATATCAATTCGCATTTTTTTTGCCTTTAACACAATTCAATGCGATCACGAGCACCGTTCAAATTTGTACATAGTATTTATCGTTTGTGCATGAAACCTTTGATTTTAATTGTAATCGGCAAGGTAACAACAACTTAAATTTCATCAATTACTTACCAAAGATTTTGAGTTTCTTCATTTGTGGAATTTTTTTCGGGGTTTCTTCTTCTTCTTCCCTCGCTTTGGCATATATGCATTGAGTTATAGCCACAAATAAATGTATTTTGTTTTTGTGAAATGTTCAATACACATGAACAAACTTGGGCAAAAGTTCATACATTTTGAAAACGAAACAAAGCTGAAGATCGAAGAAAAGAAGAAGGTAGAGAGAGAAAAAACTCGTCAAATTTCAAAAAAATCCATTACCATTGCTCAAGTTTCTGAATAACAAAACAAGAAAATTATGCAGCCGCCGCAATAGCAATGGTAGCAACAACAAACGAGAAGAAAAACAGCTTATGCCCGTATACGTATTGATCTTCATAGACACGATTGAAATGTATTTGCTCGCAACGCTACTACTAATCGCTCTTTTGTGTATATTAAAAATGAAGTGTGTGTGTGTGCTTTTTTTCGGTACAAAAATTGGTGCTTCTTTTCATTTTACTTTTTCTTCTTAAAGTGAGAGAGAAAGAGGCAGTCAATAAGCAATGTTACACCAATTTACTGCTTGTATGGCGTAATGTTCGGCCACAATCACATCAACAGCTACCAAAATCATGTAAATAAAAAGCTCATTCGCGCATATATTTTTTTCTCCGCGTTTATTTCTACTGTGAAATATCAGGCATTTCGTTTGCGTAAACGGTTTGATTATTATTAGTTTTTGTTGTTGTTGTTGTGTGTGTGTGTTAGTGTACGTGCGCTTCACCTCACGTCTTCTTCATTCGACCAAAGATCAAACCGGGAAACTTATTCACGGGCATATGTACCGATTGGAATGATTGAATGAGTGCGGTCGGCTACACACGAGCATCGATTGCGGAAATAAAGTAAAATTTTGTGTGTTCGATAAAAATGCGTGTATTCATTGTTATCCACTTGCTAACCGGGTTTTCTTTATCTAATGACCATCGCATCAATGGGCCGATGATACATGGTCAATTCGAAAGGTTACATATCACATAACAACATATCATACATTCAGATGGAAAAGAAGTGATCATAAAATAACAAAACGAAGCAAGAGCCCAACGTCTCTAAGACGTAACGAACCACATGCCATTTAATTTGAACTATTTTAATCGAATTAATCTGTAATCTATCGAAAATCGCGCTGGTGCTCTGAACTGCTCTGCACACTCTGCACCATACACATTTCGAATTCTCCGCTTTTTGCTTTCGATTATTGTGTGTGTGTATGTGTGTGTTTATGTGTGTATGATAAAATTCGGCTTCCATTTGTTATCTCTCTGTTTTTTCCTCTTCTTGTTTCAACAAGCCAAACATAGAAAAAGAAATTAGACACCGCCGTCTCTTTTGCTCGGCTGATTTGCATAAAAAACGAGATATCAAACTAACAACAGCAACGACCATAAGAGACATAACGCAAGCACCAGATATTAGCTAATCGTTTTCTAGTATGAGAGCTACATCTCTACCCATATTTACATCTAGAATTAAGCGACGATCATTCAACTGTGAAATCTCTTCGAAGAAAAAAGAAGAAGAAGAAAACCACGAAAAATTCTCTCCAAATTGATTTAGGCGTTTTCGCAATACCGAAATATGTATGTTGTTTATTATGAGGTGCTATGCACGTGGAATGGTCAATCATCAAAAATCATCATCATCATCATCGTTGTTGTCGGCGGCGGCGACCAATGTCTGTTTGTTCACACTTGAACTATTGTTGTTGCTATGAAGACCTGTTGCAACCACATATCAAAATAACTCACAGATTATTACTCTTTTTTTTCTCTTCTTCTCTCCGGGTTTCGGTCAATCGTTCGTTTGTTTCGCAATTTTCGTTGCCATATTTCTCATCGCATATTCAAATTCAGTTCGATATATTGGGAGAGAAAAAAAACCGATCGATCGACATGGGATTTTGATAGGAATGACCGTAAACTGAAAAAAAAAACATACATAATCTATCAATAATAAAAGCTCTAAGAAAAGTTGCAAATCATAGTGACTAGAGATGAACCATAAAACTTGATTTCCATAGAACGGAAGGTTGTCGTGCGTTGCTTTTTGTGTTTTTTTTTCACTTTTCTCATTCGTATTATTGATTCTCACCGCTTAATTTCTCATTGGTTATCCAAAATGTGTGTATTTTTTTTTTCGTGTGTGTCGAAATTTCTAAATGTGTGTCTTTTTGCAGATTCTTTTTTTTTTCTTCATTATATCCGGTTTGCAGCCGAAGACTGTGCTACAGTGACGTTCATCTTTACCAGATCAATTCATTAGTGTGAAGTGAATTCGAGCAATCGCATCAATTCAGTTCAGCCAAGACAATCAACCACTTCGTTTTTCTTTCGAAGTACAAACGCTACGGGGCAACAACAAAATCAAAAAAATCTACAGAAATGGCACTCTACGATAACAAATTTATGGAGTATTACAACTACATATTCACCGACTTGGCAGGTAATTAGCTTGATGACATTTTTCACTTGATACAAAATCATAAAAGAAACGAGTGTGAATAAAAAAAATAATTTCCTTGATGATCTTGTGTCTGTGTGTGTGTGTGTTAGAGGTGTGTTTTGTTTTAATTTGTTACTGGTCATTAAACTTCAATCATTGCACATTGTTGTGCGCGCGTGTTTCCCCAAAATAAAATGAAAATAACGTGGAGCAAGAACCGAAGTGAGAAATACATTTTGCGACCAGGAACCAGACACTTGTAATTGACCTTTTTACTCATGCCAATTTACCAATTATTCGCCATAATCTAGATACACGGACCAATGATTGGCCACTGATTTCATCACCTGTGCCCGGTCTCACCATCCTAGCCGCCTATTTATACTTTGTACTGTCATGGGGTCCACGATACATGGCCAACCGAAAACCATTCAAATTGGAACGAACCCTCCTCGTGTACAATTTCATTCAAGTGATTGTTAGCATCTACATTTTCTACGAGGTAATTAATCGGCAATCCAATAGATTTGGTTTTGTTTTTTTTTTTGTTTATTTCTCTTCATTTCATTTGAAATGCTTCTTTGACGTTATTCAGAGTCGAGAACACTTTATGCTGTAAATTTTCGAAAGAAAGTTCAAGGCCAAGTTCTTATTATTCTTTCGGTTGGTTGTTTCAGGGCGCATTCCATGGATGGTTTAATCATTACAGTTGGAAATGTCAGCCGGTGAACACCTCAACTGGACCAGATGGTATCCGGGTATGTAGTTTAATTTAAATCATTTTCCAACGAAAGAATGAATAGATGACAATGGAATATTTTTTTCTTTGAATTCATTCGAATATCATTAATATTCAGAGCATTATTATCATTTTGTAATTTATTGATTGCGATATTTTATGCGAAATGTTTTGAGTCAATCGGCGAACAAGTTTCAATATATTGTATCCCAATTACCGGATTTTCGTGCTAAAATCACGATCCATTTGAAATGTTGTCATGCAGACAGAAATAGGCAGAAACATAGAGAAATAAATTTGAACCGATTGTTATTGATGACCGGCCAGACGGTTCGGTAATTTCCCCTGTGGACATCAATGAAAATAATAATAATTTAACATGAATTATATTATCGAAGACAATATTCTTGATGCGAATTCAATCGGTGTGGTTTTTATTACTTCTGGTATCACTTGAAAGCAGCCAACCAAACGAGATAGATGGTCAGCTACGGCTGACGCTCGTTATCCAGATAATTTGCGTGCGGTGAACGCATATAGAACGCTCCGCTCCGTTGCCGCCGAGCGATCAATTGTACTTTGAAAGGTGGTATCCAAACGTCCAATCAATGAAAAAGAGACAAATCCACATATAACGTTTGGATACCACCTTCCAAAATACAATTGATCTCTCGGAATAATTCCGCATTATTTTTGCGGATTGTGTTCCAGAATACCGGGACAGACATTCCGTTTTTGTGACGTGCGATCCATCCAAATTCATGATAGAATCCATAATTTTTCTGACTTTGTGACGTGGTATCCAAACAAATTCATGGGTTCTATCATGAATTTGGATGGATCGCACGTCACAAAAACGGAATGTCAGCGGAGCGTTCTATATGCGTTCACCGCACGCAAATTATCTGGATAACGAGCGTCAGCCGTAGCTGACCATCTATCGCGTTTGGTTGGCTGCTTGAAAGTCAAAATATGTGATAATATGCTCAAAAATAACACGGAATAACCTCTTTTAAAAATGCTATTTGCTTGACGTCGTTGAATCGATAATAAATTGCCCACAAAATATCTTTGACTGCCATCATTCTTAATATGATTTCTCTCTTTTTTCTCTCTCTCCCTCGACAAAAAAAAATACCAAATTCCCCAACGAAACAAAAAAAAAAACAGGAGGCACGTGGTGTTTATCTTTACTTCTTGGCCAAAATTTCCGAACTTTTGGATACCGTATTCTTTGTGGTGCGTAAAAAGGAGCGACAAATCTCATTTTTGCACTTGTACCATCACACCGTAATGCCAATGATTTCATGGGGTGCTACCAAATACTATCCAGGCGGACACGGAACATTCATTGGTAAGTGTTGTGGAAATAGTATATGATTTTATTGGGTTCTTTGTTATTTTTTTTTCTTTATTATTATTTCTGTGATCATTCATATGTGTTTGATTTTTTGGACACATCAGAACTTAAATTAGGAACATTGTATAAGCTAACCAATAATGTCAAGCTCAAAACTCGTTTCTAGCTCGATTAACGATTGGATTGAGGCGACATATAGAATTCGAGATAGAAACTAGGATGTCGAATATTATTTTTGTTGTTTTTATTCTTTTGGTTCAAAATGTCTTATATGGACAAACGCGGTATAACTAAAAATGATGTTTAACCATTTTCAGGTACTATTAACTCATTCGTACATATTATTATGTATGCTTACTACTTGTTGTCGGCGCTCGGACCACAAATGCAAAAATACCTCTGGTGGAAGAAACACATCACATCGATGCAAATGGTGAGTAAAATCACGAATCGAATGTGTACTCATTTACTTTCTGTTGGGATGCTCCGTTAAAACAAAACACACATTTCTTATTGAAGCATTTGATCAATAATGTCGCCGATGTTTGTGTAGCGAACATATAATTTGTCGTTTATCTATTGAACCATTTTTGGCGAATGACCAAATCAAATAATCCGAAAAAAGAAAGATATCGTCTAAAAAGCCTGGAGCTATTGCTTAGCTGCTAACTAATGGGTTCGGCCCACGCACGGCTGGAATAAAATCGAAATTTTGACATTGAACTTTGAATTTTTTGCTAATTTCAGAAAAATTATTTTTTTCTTTCTTTCTTTTTTCTTATGTTTGGAATTTCTTTGCCGTGTTTGCACTTTGATCCGAATGTTATGACCGAATAGATCCAATTCTGCATGGCTTTCTTGCACTCATCCCAATTGTTGTGGAATGACTGTGGCTACCCAAGATGGTCAGTCTGTTTCACAATGCCAAATGCTATCTTCTTCTACTTTTTGTTCAACAATTTCTACCAAAAATCATACAAAGGAGACGAAGGCGTCAAATGTGAAAAGGCAAAACAAAAAGCTCTGAATGACAACAACAACAACGATAGCAACAACAATGAAAACAGCAAAAATAAAGACTTAGACAAAAAACAAAGCTAATTTAACTAGTACAGTGGACGACAAAAATGTTTTCAAAATAAAATTCAAAGAAGTAGAGAAAAACCACATAAGAAAATGCAAAAAAAAAGAATGAAGATAATAAGTAGACGACCGAAGAAAAGAAAAAGAATGAAAACAAATTATTTATAATGTGGACTGTTTTAACTTCACATACAAAAATAATCGATAAAATTAGATTCACACACTATGGCAAACTGTTCTTTTATTGTATTTGTCAGCAATGAACAATTTACTTGTAAGTAGGATATCAAAACATATGCAGCATGAGGGATAAAATGTTCAAGTTCATGGAAACATAATTTTATGACACATGATCAAAATTAAATGGTGTTATTATTAAGTAGATGAAATTGAAATGATGATAATGCAATTCGTTTTTTTTTCATTGTACGATTGTTAATAGATTAAATTCTTTTTGTAACATGTGTACTCATATAGCACCGAATCATTGATCGACCTTTAAAAGTTTACTTCCGTTGTGTGCAATTTATTCTTGTGTTCCGCTTTGTAGAACAGAAATGAAAAGAAGAAAAAATGGCAAAATTACGATTTTGTACAAGCTCGTGCGAAAATAAGAGTCGATCGATGGGTCGTTGCGATGTATGTGGAACCCAAATTTCCATTTCTTTTATAATGAAGTAGTCTATAATAATCACATCGATGATGTAACTGAGATTCGGTTTCTAGTAGACATATACACAACAAACAAATATTGCGTAATAAAAACGAAATGATACTTATATTCTAGTATGTCAGAACCATTAAATGTGCATACAGCAATTGTGTTCGTTATTAAATATATATACACATATATGAAGTAATTAGAGTATTTTCACAACCTCTCCAAACGATGTCCCATAAAATCACGAACGCGCGCATCTAAGTACTGTGGTGAGATGTTGAAATATCATTAGTATTTGGTGGCGATTGTGATCACGTATTGACACAATTTATTATAGCATTATCTAGAACGGATCTTATTTCAAGTTCACATGCATTTGTGAATTTCGATCAGACATTCGCAACAGTCGTCGCCGTAACGCAAAAGCACGAGCGACTAATTCCAAAAGTGTACGTTTCAATTAACACCTCTTTTGAAAAAGATCAACGAATCGACCATCAAATATATTCTTCTTCTGTTTGGCTCTTCTTTTTTTTTAGCTTGAGGTGATGTAACAAATCATTTCAGAGGTTCATCTATTGTAACATAAAATATTGTGTACTCGCATTTGATGATGATGTTTACTCTTGTTGCTTTAAGTGGCTTTGATTTATGGTCCACAATATGCGTCGTTCATGAGTTTTAAGTGGCGCAAAATGACGGTTGTGTCTCGCTCTTTCGGCTATATTCCAATAAACGATTTACGCTTATCTTTTGCATCAACACAAAAACCGCAATTCAAATTCTCTGAATATAGCTCGGTTTTTTCTTTCTTTGTTTGTGTTGTGGTTTGAGAAGAAAAAATTAATTCATATCTGCTATATTTTTGGTTAAGAATTACTCAAGCAAAGGATAAGTATTAATTTAAAGATTTAGTTGGTTTTAACGTCGTGTGAACAATTAAATTTTTCAGGTTTCAATGATTTCAGGATATTTGCTCAGTCGCTTTTTATATGCTATCGTCGAATTCAGCTGTTTTTTTTCTTCGCAAACACACATGTGTTTATAACAAAACAAAAATATTGTCTTCGTCAATTTAGTCGTCAAGGTCTGGTAATTTCTTATTGGAATCATTTGAATGAAATACACAATTAAAATATAAAGCAATGAACGAAACGAAATGTTGAAGGGGAAAAAAAACACTTTCTTTTCGTGAAATGTCATATGCACAAAGTGAACGTTGGTATCACATTGATCGGACCCAAAGATTGACTTATGAATAGGCATTTATTCCAAGGTCTTCTGCTTTCTAATTAACTTACATTGTATATGGTACTGATATCAAGAAGTGATCTGGTTAAACTAGAATTTTCACTGCAAAAATGCGAATTATCACGTCTTAAAAAAAATATGCCGACCTGTTTAAAATATACTTAAAACGAAGCGGGAGCAAAATGAAGTCATTATAAATCAATTTACATGCATTATTATATGTGCATTCGTTTATAGACTTCGACGAGCTATGTCATTAGTACATTTCAACTGATCAAACGGCTATGAAACTCAAAAATAGAACAGAACAAAATTTGAATGCACTTGATTGTCCGAAATGTAATCGTTCAATTGGAAATAATATATGCAGCCAAACCACTTTTGATGGATTGCTACAATAATGCATCGATTTGCCTTTCAGATCAACTACAAACGATATTATTGAACTATTCGTTAAATAGTATGATTATGGGAAATATTTTCAATTCGAAAAAAAAAAACATTTTTCTTCAGCTCTTATAATTGCCTAACACCGATTCATCAAATTATATTTATTCAGATATAAATTTCCATCATAACGGAACACAAATAGCATGCGAGTCGCATCCGAGATAAAAGTGTTGTCCGAAACGACAACAAACAGTTTTTGGTCTATCTCAAAAATGAATGGTTTTGAACGCACTCACGCATTTTTCTACATGTTGCTTTCAAACTGTCAGTTGATTGTCATTTGACGTTCCGAATGAAATCATAAAAAAAACAACGCACCAATTACAACGCGATTTATCCCGTATAAGTGTACACAAAATACGCGAAAATGGCAAAACAACCAATTTTAAAGGAATTGGAATATTTTGTGAACGGTGCAACAACGGCAACATCAATCAGCCCATCTGGTTTATCGCATTTAGTACATTGTGGCTTGAATTTACTGCACAATTTACCCGCGTCAAAAGATGCCGTCTTCGAATACTTTACGATATTTTTCGATGCATCGGTTGCCGGTTATGTGAAATTGATCGAGGTTAGTGAATGATTAGATGAGAAGAGCACCATTAAATCCATTCGGGGAAATTCAAAGGGCACGTGAATTGAAATGTGTTTTTTTTTTCTTCTTTTAATCAGCAAAAGGATTCAAATCTCGTTGCTTCATATGACAGTACAGTTGCTGAAGTTCAGGATGTATTGGAAACACTAATAAATCAAGGGCAACATGCATGGGTACCGTATATTTCGACATGGAGCATTAAAACACTTGGCGTTTTGTCAAAGAAATACAAACGATCCGATAACAGAGGTAAGTTGAATTAGGTGTTTTTGAACGAGTTATATCGGTGGCAGACAAAAGCAATACACAAAAATAAATTAAATTTGTTACTGTGGCCGAGTGAAAAATATATTGAACGTGAATCAATCTTACACAATTCTACACACCATTCCATGTTCAATTCCATTGATATGTGAAATCTTCGGCCTACTTTGTCACTATGATTATAATTTGCTAATTTTATGTCTAACGAACTTTTTTTTCTACATATTTCTTTTGATTATTTGATTGATTGTTGTTCACTAAATTGCACTTTGATTTCGAACTTTCCCAAAGGAAAACCAACGTTATCACAGAAATGCATTGCGAAACCGCTAGAAATCACAACTATACCCTAAATTGATTATGTTAATTGAAACTAAGACAGACTCTATGTTAACATAAAACTAGAACGGTTATTGTAGTTTTTGTTTTTGTTTTTCATTTGGTTTGCCAATTCAAAAGGAAGAACAATAAATCACTCGATTCGATTCATGCTATATGCAATAACAGTGAAACTAAACAACAACAACTAAAAAAAAACATCTGCATAGATGGGATGTTTGCAATTCGTTTGATACATATGCACATGTAACCCACATTTATACACAATACGAGTAGTTGTCATGCGTGCTATACCGCTGCAGTGCCATCAAATGCATAAATTGTTACATAATTCTTGCAAAACTGCCAAAATGATTTTGACATTCGTTTAAAATGCATTGGTTCCGTTAAAAATCCCCATGCAAAAGCAAAAGTGGTCAAATAACAATGTGATTGTTCTTAATTTTATTCAGACATTGCGTCAACGTGTAACCTTTGGTTGGCATCGAGTGCCATGAGATGCCTACTGGCCGTAACCGTTTCCTGTTTCGAGAAAGTCAATCCAAGTGAAGAAGAAAGTTTTATTGAATTTTTACTTGGCGCCTACATGCAGAATCCATCCAGCTTTGACTGGGTCGTCGCTCGGCTCGGTAGCTGCTTCCCACAGAAAATCATTAACAGGTTAGCCAGCAACAATTGTGGTTTTTTTATTTAAAACATTTCGAAATTATTTTTCATTAAAAATTGTTGCGCTTTTCTTCACAGAGTTCTAAACTGTGGACTGAAGTTACAAACAGATGGATTTGGGCTTGACACTGAAATCGGTATTTTATCATACTTGGCATTCGTCCAAGATGTGCAACTAAAAGTCGTACTCAACGAAATGGTGAAGGTAATGTTAATGTGTGAAAATTCAAAAAAATTGATTCATCACTCATACCAACTCATTCACAAATTCATCAATTTGACAGAATACCCTGTACGAAAAGCCTCAAAACAATCAGTTGGTGAATACAATTCCATACTTTTTCACATTGGCCGGAAAATCGGATGTGATTCTACAGCAAATGGTCTCTGTCTTCCTTGAAATTTGTAAGTTTTACATACCTTTGACGTTGCTTCTAATAATGGCTACCAATCTGAATGGCTAATATTTTAAAATGACCCATTTTACAGACGATGATAAGTTCGTTCCAGCGTTGAGCGAGCAAATCAAACTATGGCCATCGAATTTTAATGTAACAGACATAATGCCATCGTTGACTGCTCTGTTGCTGCGCATTCGAAAGGGTGCCACAAAAGTGTTGCTAACTATTGCCGAAATAGCCGAACAAAGTACATGGTGTCAAAATCTGCTTGAGTCCGTGTTGCAAGAGATATTTACATTAGTTAATGATAACCGTGTGTGCCCCATACTGTCCGATGTTCTTGAACAAAATTCACAAGATCTCTTGATCTCGACGAGTGTATCAAAATCACTGATCAAACGACAAACCGCAATCCGATTGATACTGTTGGCATCTGGTCAATCGACGCACATTTACCATCATTCGGTGACGGAGCTGCTGTCCTATGCCAACCATTCCGAAAACACAAATCCCATCGAAGCACTCATTCGCCTTATATCCGGCGCGAATTTCACAAACGAAAATGTTGGCCTTAAGCCTGGTGTAACCATAGCACTCGAACGGTTATTAATTGACGAATTCAAAATGGAGGACGAAAGTATCGACCGTAATCTGAATGTGTTACAAAATTTATTATTCCTTGTGCGGTAAGCAATTTCATTTGGATTTACATCCATTTGGTTCGAACTAATTTGTTGATTGTTTTCATGTAGTCTGGAAAAACACGGTAGTTCGGTTCACTTTAAAGAATCTCCGCTGACAAAAACGTTAACGCATTGTGATGCCACGCTGATGGAAATCGCCAAACGGTACTTAACAAAGGCAATGGAGTACGTATCATTCATAAATGCATCACAGCTGCTGTCGTGTGAAACGGCTGACGAACCAGTGACGAAAAAGATAAAAACCGTTGAGTCGCGACTGAATCGAAAAGAAAGATGCTACAAATACACACTGACTTACAAGCAACACATCCATGCGGTGATGAGCCTATTTGATATTCTGGAAATTGGAAAGAAAGACCAGCCATTGGCCGTGGATAAATCCATCAAATGGGCCGAATTAATTGTTAAGTACTTCTTCTGGAGCCTCACTGAAACTGGTATGTATTGAATATCGATGAAAAAGTCAAAATCGGAATTGATTTTCAACAAAGTGTGAATGGCATGTGCCTAATAAATCCAATGGCCAATTCACAGATATGGAGTGTCGTCAAATTGCCATTGAACGAGTTTATTCATTGCTGACACGTCAGTGTACGGGTCGCAGATATTCGAGAGTAACGGCGCTGCGTGAACTTTTAGAGGGTGCCTTATATTCATATGGTAATTTATTTGGCGTTCATCTTGATATTGACTTCGATAAGAGTGTGCAGAACAAACGTCGCGACGACCGTTTGCTGCTCAAAATGAACCAAACACAAAACAACACACTCAACAATATTCGGTCGTCGTTGCATGCCGGCATCATTGGACAAGGTTTGAAATTTCCCACAAAAGAAGCATCACCACCGGACGCCGACATACGAAATATGCTACTCAGGGCCATTATCGCTTGCTGCAAACAAGAAGTATGTGCTTTGATCTTTATTTTATTTAACCAAATCTTTTTTTTTAATTTTCCTTTTGTTTTACTTTCGAATTAGGATATCGCAAAGAGTATCAATGGATTTACATCAATTTCATTGTTGCTCGTGGAAATGATTTCGCTCGATGTAATGTACAACGGTTTACCGTGGCCAGATGAGGAATTTTCAAAAATCACAATGGAACGCGACCTACATATTCGGCGAACATTTAAAAATGCGCCCGTTTTATGGTCAATATTGGCACTGATATCAAATCATCGGCCATCGTTGTGTTTTGCGTCAGTGCTTCTCAGGGCGATTTGTGCCACGCTATTGCATCAATGGCGGGCCAAATCAGTTTTACACAATCAGACCGTTGAGAATAACTATGAAATGTTCAAAGTTACGAAAAATATGCTCGAAATTATGGCAATGGGACAACTATTATCCGGTCCGCTGGCATATCTTCATGTTGTTATTGAACATTTTGAGCCGTTCGAAATTGTCGTTGTGCTGAAGGAATGCGTGTGGAACTATATGAAAGAAAACATTCCATCGCCGATGCCGTACAAAGTAGCGCCAAATGGTAATTATTCACTCTGAAATTGTATATTTTTTTAACGAAATAACTACACAATTGGTACTATTGATTTGTTTGGTTTTAATCAACCGTTTTCAAATGTGTTTTTATAGGTTTACATTGGAAAGATCCAAGCACATCAACAATTTTCCCACAATTCATAGATCCACTGCGAAATATCATGCAACGGAAATTATCCAAACTTGGAATGCTTTATTATTATATGTTTGTTGCGCCCGAAGAATCATCGACCTAAGCAAGCCATTTATTTTATGTAAATTGGCGCTTCAATTGCATAATAACAACAAATTAGTGTATTTTATTAGATGTATTTTTTTTTTATTTTTTAAGTGTGTAAAACAAAAATAATTAAAAAAATATATTTCAATAAATTTCAATTTATATAAATCTTTAAAACTTCTATTATATTGTTGTTTTTCTCTTGTTTGTTTGTTTGTTTAATTTTTTCACATATTGAACGAAAGAAAAAAAATTTTTGACTAGAAAATCTTCAAACCATTTTAAATCGCATTATTTTTTTTTTCAAGTATTTCAAGCAGTTCGATATCTCATGCTGAGCTTGTGAGAATAAAACATTGGGCAAATCCAGTTACAATTATTAAAATCGCAAACGAAAGAAATATTTTTTTTTCTTAATTTCATAAGCCTACAACTTGTAGGCTATAAGAACAAACTTGATTTAGACGAACCGTATTTCAGGAACGGAGTTCATTTGCATCTCGAGACACACAAAATCGTGATTCTTTAAAATAAAAAAATAAAACAAATAAAATTGTATCACAATTTGTGCGGAAAATTACATTCAAAATTCATGAAAACTCGAAAGGAATCAAGAGTCCGAGAAGTGAAGAATTCTCTAAAGAGTTTTCAGTATGGTTCATGGTTGGTTAGAGGAATGTAGATAAAACGAATTGGTCGCAACGAATTATACTCGCATGAATGCACCAACAATACAATCAAAACACTTCTCGTCAAATCGTTGATTTGTAACACCCCGAAGAGTTCATGAACGATAATACACGATTTTCATATCACGGATGCAACTATTTCCTCCAATAGCAGCAGCTCTTCTGAATTTCATGTCGATGCATGCATGTGTATGTTTTTTTGTTTTTGATTGTTTTCCATTTTGAATTAAAACCATTTGCAGGTGTGGAAATTTTATTCTGCACTCAGTTTTGATTTGACGAATAACAAGTGAGAAAAAAATCGAATAAATCAAATGAATCAAATTTTTTTTTTTTTTTTCCTTGAAATTAATTCTTTCTATGACGGTCGACAACCGGTTATTTTCCTTACTGAAATACATGATGATAATTTTTTTGACAATTTCCTATTTTTAGAACTTCGTTTGGTTGCATTAACTTTAATATGTGATGGAGATGTCGTTCGTTTGGCTGTAAAAATGGAAATTTAGGCATTTATTTTTGTTTTTATTATCGTTCTCGTCCACTCATACTGACCGGTTAAATCGTGTTCGGTGTAATAATCCTGTTCCATTTCGTCAGTGCCATAATGATAGGCATCTAAATAGGGTAGTACAGTTGAACTTCTCAGTTCATCGCTTTTTAACGGTGGTACCCAAACTCGGTTGCCCACTTTTGTCGGTGTGCTTACTGTCCATCTGTGGATCAATGAACGGAATAATTTGGTTTTAGCCCAAAAATGTCGACATTTACATACATAGCGAATAAATGTATGACTTACGTGTGCTGCTTCACTTCTTCCAATGTTAATCTAGTTTTTGGGTCTGCTTGAAGCATTCCGAGAATTAAACTCGCTAAATTTGCATCAAACTTTTGAAACCATTCAGGTGCCTTCCATTGATTCTTTCCAATATTCTCCAACAGCCTATAAATATTGTCGCCTTCGAATGGATATTGTCCAGTCGTTATATTATACCTTCGAATCGGTTACATTAAAACGTTAAAATTCCCATTTAGACAAAATTGAAACGAACTCATTTTTATTATGGAAAAAAATCATTCTTACAGTGTTACGCCAGAGCTCCAGATGTCGACTTTGAATCCCGAAAACGTTTCATCGCCGTTTGCAATCTCGGGCGGTTGAAATGCTGGTGACCCTTGACCAGTTGAGCATGTATCATCCTCAGCAAACATCGATAGTGCCTAAAAAATCAACATTGCAATGACATCATTCAAAGTATGGCTATTCAGCAGAAAACCACCGTTGATTGCCATGCAAATGCAATTGTCAACTCACCTCTGCAACGCCAAAATCGGAAATTTTCAGTGTATCGTCAAGAGTGATCAACAGATTTCCTGGTTTTATGTCCTTGTGAATGACACCCTTTCCATGCAAATATTCTAATCCGTCTAATAGCTGGAGAAAGTATCGATGGGCTTGGAACAGTGGCATTTTCTTTTCAGGCACTGAGTCGAGCATTTCCTAATCAATGGAATATACAAACCGGTTTGAAATTCACATATTCTCCACATGCATACACACACACACAACTCTGACTCTCTCTCTCTCTCTATGCAAATCAATCATTCGTTGAACACACGGTAATCGAGTGGCTTACCTGCAGCTGGCCAACACAGTATTCCATCACCAAATACATTTTTTGCTTTTCTTCATTGTATAAAACATCGAGCAATTGCACGACATTCTTGTGCCTCAACACCTGCAACAACTGAATCTCGCGTCGAACATTTTGTTCACCATTGGGTATTCGTTTGAGCTTTCTTTGTGTCAATATCTTGAAATGTGAAATGAATTTTGTTAATTTCTAGATTTTTTTCCATCTCCCATGTGTGTACCTTAACGGCTCGTCTGCATAATGTTTCCGAATCTAAGACTTCTTTGACTTTACCGTAGGAGCCTGTTATCGAACATTGAATGACACCATTTATTGAATTATTATTATTTAGTCAATGTCAAACCAAGTAAATTGTTACTTTTTCCATCTTCTTATCTTACCTTCGCCCAATTTATCGCCCATCACATATTTACCAATCATTTTGCAGGTCTTTTTCTTAGCTTGGTAAATAATTTCAGCTGATTCAACACGATTGAAAAACATATTTGTTGCATCGATATTGATTGACATTTCTAATTTTTCGTTTTCGTCATCGTTCAGCCAGGTGACGGCCTGTCCACAATTTGTATCGAGCAAATCATCTTCGGAGAATTGCTCGTCGCTGGCAAACATCGAATTGGATAAAACTAATTCCGATTTATTGGCATCCATTTGATTAGTTTAGACTTGAATAGAAAAATATACCACCGTGGTGGTGTAGAACACATAGAAATTGGTGTCAATTTTTTGTGTAGAAATTTTTGTGTATTGTTTTCATGGAAATGATTTCGTAACATTAAACTTAATTGCGATGCTCGTTTACAGAATATGACAGTGAATCGTTTGATCACATTTGATTTGTCTAATAAAAAACGAAAACAAAATATTTAGCAAACAGAAGAAAAACAAAATGTAACTTAGTATGGCTGCGTCATTTTTACTGCAGACATATTTTTACTAGCGATCATTTGAAATGTCAAATTTTGTTTTGCCCACTTGAACGCTGAATTGACATAAACTTTTTTTCCTACTTCTTTCACTTGTGTCCGTACATTTTACGGACCCGCTGCTGGCTCCACCTTGTGGCAAATTCCGACGGTGAGCGAGTACGGAAATTAAGTAAAAGCTTTTATTCGTGAATTGTTTTTTTGATTTATTTAATTTCAGTTGGATTTTACATTTGTTACAATTGGTCCAAGTAAACGGGTTGAATTATGTAAAATGTAATTAGTAAAAGAAATATGTCGGGGAGAGTTGGAGAAATTTCGTTTCGAAAATAACACCATCAAACTGTAAAAAACGATTGAGGTCTTTATCTTATGAATATGAATACCGTTTTATCATTCAAACACGTCACATATTTGATGCTATCTAATGTATGCGAAAAAGAACACATTTGCAATTTTATTGCTGTGGTTGTGGTTGTTGTCTTACATTGACTTCTATCACTGAACTCGAGTATCACTCGCTTGCCCGATCGCTCGTCCACTCGCTTCTATCGAAGACGAGGGAAGTTCTGTATATTCAAATGATATTTCAACAAATACCGGTTACAGCAATGATCAGCATGCCATGATGACATGCAAAATTCGGTTCCGACGTTATTTTGGTAGTGAATCTTTCATTCAACAACAAATAACATTCACAATTAATCGCAGTTAGCCATACAATGGACTTCGAAAATAATAAACTCATCTAAAGTCATCATTTAATCCAAATTATAACATTTTGTTACTCGAAATGAAAGCTCTTCAATTGCGACGTCGAAGCAACTGGTTGTAACAGGTATTTATAAAATTATTAAACAAATGGATTCAATACAATTAACTATCAATTTTGGAATGCGAGTCACCGAAATTCCGATTTTGTTTTTACAACAATATTTAATCCACCAAAGTTTCTAACCATCTCTGGGTTTGACCATGTCGTCAAAATATTTGGCAATAAAAAAAAATCAAATACATATTCAAGAATTTTTAGTTAGTTTGCAAAGAACTGAACGATCGATGTCTTTTTTTCCCGTTTTTATTATTCTATTTTCTTTTATTCATCTCGGCCATTCGAAGAGAAATGTCGTCAAAATATGCAGTCTCTTGTGCAGGAATCGCAAAATTGACATGATGACGCAAACCTGTATCTTGATTTCTTTTCTTCTCGTTTTTATTCGTTGATTTATCGATATCCTCACGTTTATGTCTTGGTTTTTATCACACTAAAGAACAAGAATAACCTCACAGACTATTTTACAGGTTAAATGAATATTGCACGTGAGAAGTTCAGGAACCTTTTCATTTCTATCATTTCCATCCATTCGACCGAAGTAATATAACGTAATACCAATTCATTAGCTAGATGTAACCCAAACTGGAATTATGCTACCAATCGATTTTGTCTTGATGATAAAAAGAAAATGGCATTGTATTCAAGTCATTCCAGTGTAAGGATTTTCAAAAGTTGAGTTCACCTTAAATTGAGATTGTTTTGAAACAATCTAGAATCTGGTCAACTTTTAAAATAAAGAATTGAGTTGGAAAATATGTACGTATAGAGAGAAAAAAACAACTTCACTACTGTAAAATATGTTGGCGCATTTCAATAAAGCCCTCTTGTGACGTATTAAGGTGACCAGTTTAAAATTTGCAATTCGAACGGGGCGCTAAATTTAGAAAACTAATCGTATCGTTTGCGTATTTACTGTGTACGAATGATCAAGAACATTTTTATAAACAAACAACTGATACGGAACTAATGGAAGTTCCGTGAACCAGTTCACAAAGTTACATTGCATCCGACTGTATTTAATTATGCATTTGCTTGTCGATTCTCAATCGACAGACTGAAAATTCAATTAAAAATGCTCGTTTTATTCAATTATAAAAGCACCATGTCGATGTAAATGGGATTAAGTTGGGAGTTGTTGGTGATTTATGACTTGGTTAACTGGATAGAAACAAAAGCCAAATTTCTTTGATGAAACCCAACACCAACAATTCCATGTGTATCATATGAATTGCGAAAAATGAGTTTTACGACGCAGAACTTCTGCGTCTATACTTTGGATGGGAATTCAAACGGTAATTTTTTTTTCTGCTGTCGTTGTTGTTATAACCATTTGAGTGAACGTCAAAATTGTCTACCTTTCTAAACAATTTTATGCATTCGGTAATTAAATCGATCAACATGTCTAAGGCAATTAACAATAAGGCACTTTTCGTGATTTTCAACAATTAAATTATAGCTCCAATAAATTCTTGACGATTAAAGAACACGGCGGTGCTGGCGATTCGGCTGAAATAAAAACATAATAAAAGTCTTGCTCAAAGACGGAACAGCAAATGGTTTTGTGTTGGGCCGGACACAACGATTATTTCGTACGTATGATAGCATTTTTGATTTGATTTTTGTTGTTGTTGTTTTATTCGGCGAATAATTATATTTTAGCGCTCCAATTTGTGGTTCTAAAGATCATCGTACAATAAGAATCGTGCGAGAACGATCGGTAGATTGTGTACGGGTAGCGGGGTAAACAAAATATGACCAAACAACGAAGAAAATAACCGAAACAGAAGAGAGAGAGAAAAAAAACACACCAAAGCAGAAGCACTGCGACAACACACAGACTACAGGCTACACAACACAGAACATACACGAATGGAGCGGCACGGCATACGAATATGCGAATATACAAGAGTTAAAGCTCACCCATCGCACCGAACAATACAGTAGTGGGGCGTTTAATTATATAATGAAAGTGTTAGACACAGGTAGTGTAGCTTTAAATTTTATCTTTTAGTCTTGTGACGCACATGTCGCAGCATTGTCAGTTCGTGTTGAGCGAATCCTCCGAAAAGAAATGTTAATTATTTTAAAAATTTCTTTCTTTTGCCACTGACTCATATCAATTCGTTTTTTGCTGTGCTGAACAATCAACGAAATTCTCGTTTATTTTTTTTTCGGATAAATAATCAAGAGACAGTGATTTTTTGTTTGTTTTTTTTTTTTTAATTTTAAAAGACACTCAGCCAACGGAAAAAATCAATGTGAATTAACTGTTCCGTTAACAATAAAAGTAAATACTTGAAAGAAAAAAGGATTTTTTTTGCTCGGTAAATATATAAAAATCAAGTGTGATAAAAGTGTTGGTAGCTAAAGGAAAAACTGGCTTAATTTTCCCGAGCTCGTGAAAGTGATTTTGATTTACATATTTCACCTTCCCATCGATTGTTTAAGACACACACATACACAAAAAAACATAAGGTAATTAAATTCTTATTTTGATCTCCATTAAATGTAAGCAATGACTTTATTTTTACAATTTCCTGATTTAATTAATGTCAATGTGAAAGAAAGGAGAATAAAATATAGATGAATTCGGTGTGAATAATTTTACGGAATTTAAACTTTTGATTTTGAAACCGTTACAATAGTATCAGATATGAACTATCTGAATAGAAAAGACGCTAATATTCGTGCATTGATAAAAAACACATACACATACCCAAGCGTATATATATATATATATGTTTATCACGAAATAGATGCTAAATCCTCTGAAGTTTCAATTTTTGTCATAAATGCCAACGTTTCATTGCCTCCGGGGTCGGTGACTAGAAATTTTGTGTATTTGGTAAACATCACGTATGTTACCTTCCGAAATGCGATTCGATTTGAATAAAAAAAAAAATGACAAGACCGGATTCTAACCAGAAATTTGCGCGAGGAACCGAATCTTCGATTTGCGGAATATTGGCGAGCGAGAGAAAAAAAAAACGGCAGAAATAAACAAAATATTTTTTTGTTCAAAGTTCAAAATGCAAAATAGATTATGTGCTGAACATGTTTCGTCTGAGTTGTCATAAGGTGAACCGCCAAACGTCCGATCGAAACAACTGGATACTTCTCTATCAAATTTATTAAGAATAATATGCTAATTGAGACTTTGGCTTTGATATGCGAAAATGTTGGTGAGCAAAACGCTTCAATAGCGTCAGAAAGCATTACTCAGACTAGGTGAAAACACCCAAAAAAGAGAAGTCGTAATATTTCGATCGATTCTGATTCCGCATAGAGCGCTCTTTTTTCTACTGTACATTTTTTTCTAGATTAGTACGTCTATAATATGCAGATTGCCAATTTTGCGAAAAATTCTATTCGCTAACTGGTTTTTTTTCCTTTCCTTAATCATTGATTGGTTACAATGTCGTGGCCGTTGCTCAATATACAAATTCCAAAAAGTAAAATGAATTTTTAAACAGGTTTTTGCCGCGCTTTGTTTTCTCAACGCTCATTTTTTTTCTCTTTCTCCTTTTTTTCGTAAATTTTACTTCGATACGACAGAGAGGAAGAGAAAGAGAAAGAGAAAATCATTCTATTGAAACAAATGAATAGAAACTTTTTGTTGCTGCTGCTGTTGTTTTTGTCACAATCCTTTCGACAATCATGAAAATGATTTGTTTCGTCGTGCATATTGAGTGTGTATTATGTGCGCCTCTTGGCGATTCATGTCCACTTTGCGGCGATGATGAAGATCACTTTTCCGATGGTACACACATATATTGATTTTGATTTGGCCCATTCCTTTTTGATGAAAAACAACCCATGACAACAATCGAAACTTTAATTATGCTTATACAACGGAAATTTTTCTTTGCGCACATAAAAATACGCATGCGTTATTTATTTCTTTTCTCTCTGTCGTAACTGTGCAACACCAGCACGTTTTTGTCTACTTGATTTCTTTCTTTTTTGGACGTCGTCGTCGTTGTTGTTGTTTTTATTGTTGCTGTTGTTGTGGTTGTGGTTGTCGGGGCCTCTCTTCATCTGCTTCATTTCTCTGTGTCTCTCTTTCTCTCTCTCTCTCTCTCTCTCTCTCTCTCTCTCTCTCTCTCTCTCTTCCTCTTTCGGTTTATATCTTTCGGATCCGAAGTGAACGAAAAAAAAAATTATCCAATAATGGCATGATTCGAATTATCATGCGGGAATGAACGGAACAATCTCCGTAGTTTTTACTTGCGGCAATATTTGAATCTTTCATTAGTAAGTTGCTTTTGTTGTAAATTAATAGGAGAGATGAGACAGTGGAAAAAGCTGCCAAATACTCGAATGGTCAACAAAAGCACATCAGTCGAAATGCGTTAGCCTCTTCTCTTTCTTTTCTTCTTTCATCGTCGTCATCGTCGTCGTCTTTTTCTTCTTCTTTCACTCACCCAAAGTCAACTGTTTCTTTTCTTCCGTCCATTTAATCCAACACACGGTGTGTATGATAGTGTGTTGTCATGTCATCTTGATTAGACACATTTACGATTGACCATTATGTGATTAATGAAAGAAGAAGAAGAAGAAGAAGAAGAAAACGATGAGTGATCGGCTGATCACCGATCAATGTTGATGAAATGTGTGGTATGTATCCAACGTCTCGAGAGCACTAGGCCGAAGCAACAGGTTCAAATTGAGGCAGAGAATAGAAAACTTTTACTTTTTACAATGCCCATATACATTTTATTATCGATTGACCGATTTTTGAATATAGTTCGCTAACTGGCAATGAACGAGATTCATACCTACAGCTATTATTCATCCGAAAAGAGAAAAAAAATATATTTATGTACACATATGGAATGACTATGGTGCTTGGGTCTATGTGTTGCTCGGTGTTTTCGCATTCATCATTTCTTAAATGATGTGATCACATATGAAAATAGATAGGCGGCTACAAATTCATCAAATAGGTGCAAACAAATATGCGACTTGGACGATCTCTGTTGAAACACATTTCCGAGCCATGATTGCGCTGAAGAGTACAACAGCTCGGTCACACGAGCACACGAGCACACAAGCGCTCTCGCACTTGCACACCAACGAAGATGACAACGATGATGATAAAGATTAACAAAAAAAAACAAAACTAAAAAGATTTCACATAACACATTTTTGTATATATGAATGTGTGTGTGTGTGTGTGTGTGTGGATATGTGTTTTGGTTGTTTGCTAATGTATCATGCTGTTAAACGATGTTTAGGTGTAAAATGCGTTGAATAGCTGTGTGCTCCATTAATCATTGGCATCTGAGCTTTTGTTATGTCGTCTTTATTTTTCTCTTTTGGCGGGTTACTGTTAAACGCTTCAGGCGTGCATTCCTATTTCTAGCCTTTGGCCGATATTCCAAAGAGAAATTTTTGAAATCACAAAATCAAACCATTTCTCTGTATAGCTAGCGGGCCGATTGATTTTTCCCATTGTTTTGTCAAAATCATCGAAAGCATCTTTTTGCGATGAATGCGTATCGGTGTGATTGGGAATCGATACGCCCTACTGAGATTTCGTTTACCGTTCGCTTTGAATGGCTTAGAGATTGTAATGTTTGGTGGTGTTTTTGGTCGATTATCTTGTGACCGGCTTACATACGGTCATGATATGTTCTTTTATTTTGCAAATTATGCGTTTCCCCATTTTTTGTCGACATTGGAAATTTCCTTTGCCACACGCAATCAACGAAAACAATCATAATAATGGTCTTTTTTTCGTTAGTTCTTTCTCTTTCACTCTTTTGATTCCGTACAAACGATTACACTAACGGCAAAATTATAATTTGTTTTATCCGTTGTGGAATTTTTGACATTCTAATGGTATTTTTTCTGCCTTGGATTTTTGATAGAGATGAATTAAGATCCAATCAGCTATGACCAGTATCAAATCTATCATTTTGTCATCGTCGGAAATTCCGAGTGAATAGTTAGTTATTTCTTCTTCTGTCAACACACCGTTGATCGATTGATATCCACACTCTTGAACTTGTATACACAAGCATATTTCATAGTTGTGTGTGAATTGCCGAAACAATTAGAGTGTCTCGTTGAATATAATGGCATTCATAGCTTGCCAAATAACCAGAAAAAAAACGATTATTAAATGGTCATGAACATGTTTCGACCCTTGCCAATTTGCTATAACCGGGTCTATTGGCACACTCGATATTCAAGTCATCAGTAGCCAGCAAAACGGCTACCTTAAGTTCACATGCCATACACACACACCGCACAAATCAATGCGAGATGTCGTTTTCTCTTTTGGTTAATTTTATTGTTGCTTTTCTTTTCTTTCATTTCGGATTGCTGTTTTTGTTGTGCCTTTTTATTTCGACTGTTTGTTCATCATCTCTCGCCAAAGTTTGTTCATCATCTGAATTCGAATTGTAAATTACAAACTGGTATTTTTGTTTTCTGTATCAATGCGACAATGTTTCCAGTTGTGTGCGTTTGTTGTTGTTGTTTTTTTCTTCCTTCTGTTTCTGCGTCAGCGTGCCCGATGGGCTTACGATATGTCTAGGTGTATTGGTTTGCATCAAGTGTGAGTAACACTGATTTTTTGGTTAATGATCGGTCACTAGCAAATAAACAAATAAATAAAGACGCACATTTTCGGTGTATATATCGATTACGAAAAATTCCGGTACTATACACACACACATAATTGAGATGGTGGCCGCACAAAAAGGGTGAACCTGCATGTATTTGTGCGAGAGGCACATATTTGTATTTTAGGTGAACACGAGAGGAGCACCAAGTGATAGACATACAAAATACAACACAGAAAATGAAAAAAAAAACGAAAGAAAATACGAGTCAATGAGTAAATAATTTCAAGTGAATACACAAAATTAGCGTTTCACTTTCTTTTATTATTATGATTATAACTGTTATTATTGAAATTCTGTGCACATGAGAGTGTTGATTTTTCTTTCTCACTCTCCCTTCGATCGCTCACGATGCTGATGCTGTCTTTGACTCCGACAATGATTTACATCGGTTGGATGTCTTTTGATTTCAATTTTCCTTATATTTGGCTGCGTTTGGTTGGACCAACCGACCAAACCGAATGAAATAAATTAAAAATGGTTATGAACATGGCATAACACCGCTCTGAGTGTGGCGGTCTACTGCGGATGCTGTTAATTCGGCTGTGAATTCCAATCCTCTTTACGAAGACGATAGTCAAATATAATAAGCATTGCATAAGCACCAGCACCGCACCGAACAGTCATCACTTTGAATACCTACCTTTAAATTGTGATTATTATTTTAAATTTCAATCAAATATTCACGCGCAACTGATTCCCACATATGAAGCTTGACCATTCGTTTGGGAAAATGATGCGTGCAGCGCGTGTGTGTCCAATGGACACTGTCCATGTGCAAATTTTGCCAAAGCTTAGAACTGCAACAGTGGCTTAGTTTGATTAAACAAATCCCGAATGTCATTCAATCGTTGTTTTCCGTCAAATTGTTGAAATCAGTTCAACCAACTGGTTGTGTCTCCGGATGGAATGTGTTCACTGAACACGGTTCCGTAATACATTAGTCACAGTAAGACTTTTTCGTCTGGTGAACTACTTTGGTATCGGACCGATTATAACACATTTACGATCGACAATCGACATCAGGCATACAAGTTTCCAAAATAGTGTCAATAAATATAAATAACCAACGACGACAACAACCACAACCACAAAGCAAACTGCAATTCAAGTTTTCAATTTTATGGGATTTCTGCAAACTAATTGATTGAATTGTGTTTGTGTATATGTGTTTGTAGTGATTACGCATAAGAAAGCGTAATTTTCAGTCCATCCATGCACTCACAAGCAAACTTGAATTCAAGTTGATAATGATGGCGTTTTGCTAAATAATGGGCTTATGATGCGATAATACATTGATTCAACATTGTATTAAAAGTGATCGAAAATACTTTTACCCAAAACAAACGAGAGAGAGAGAGAGAGAGAGAGAGAGAGAGAGAGAGAGAGAGAGAG